TCATTCTTAACTACAGTGTGATACGTCATGTGTTTAGAACATTAGATGCTACAAATGGTTATGGTTTAGAACTTTAATAGGATGCCTGAACCTTAATATTTTTTATAATTACCTATTGTGTTATATAAGTTGTTCACTTGAAGTTTGTGAGTACTAAGATTTGATTTTTCACACAATAACTGCATATTGAATTATTGACGAACAGTAATGTATCCTCACAAGTACTTTTAGTTGAAGGAGGACTCAAACATTACTTTTTTCAACTTTTAATTAAAGAGAACTACTAGCGGGAAGAGGGTGAGCCTCGGCACAATGATAAGGTTAATGCTTGGGGACATGAGGTCATTGGTTCAAATCCTTGAGAGTTAGGTAAGACCACTTAGATATACTTGTTCCAGACTCACTAGGCAGAAGTTTCGTACATTGAGCCACCCTTTTCCATATAAAAAACGAAACAATAAATAATAATATAATTTAATATTTAGTATTACACAACTTGGCCTTTTCCACAAATTTTGAGTCCGATCTTTGTTTTCAGTTTGGATTGTTGGTTTGATGCTATGTTATACATAGCGGTAGGAATAGCAACGGGGCGGGTCGGGTTTGTGTTTACCCAACCCCGAACCCGAATTAAGCGGAGTTGAAAATAATGATACCATCCCCGAACCCGGAAAAAACCTGAACGAAACATATATTTTCATGTATAGATTATATATATAATGTGTGTGAAATTTATATATATATATATATGTGTGTGTGTGAAATTTATATATATATATATGTGAAATATATATATATATATATTTTCTATATGTAATTTTATATATATTAATTGGGTTCGGGGCGGGTTCGGGGTAGGGTATTAACAATACCAAACCCGAACCCGAAATTTGAAGTCGGGTAAAACCCGAACCCGAACTCAATCACATCGGGTTTTCCCCGTTAAATTCGGGCGGGTACCCGTGGGTTCGGTTTTCATTGCCATCCCTACATAGCGGGTCCTAAGTCCGAATAAAAGGTGAAAGTTACTTATTAGTTGACAGCCGAAGTAAGACTATATTGCATTTCTATAATATGGATCAACAATTTGATAATGTTAATGCTAGGATGTATCTCAGAAGCAACACATTGCATTGCTCGAGTACAATGTCTAAAGGGTAAGGGCCGCTGCATCGTCGCTTAGATGTAGTGAAAAACGATTAAGGGTTCTGACATCCACATGAACAGGTGTTGGTAAAGAAGCTAGTTCACAATATATGATACAAATCGGAACATGAAAAATAGGTACTCTTACAGATAAATCAATGGAAATAGTAGACATAATGATTAGTAGGATGATCAATTTTATATGCCTACAAGAAACTAAGTAAGTTGGTGAAGAGGTAAGAGAATTAGATACTTCAAGTTTTAAGTTGCAGTACTTGGTAAGAAAAGATTTAGAATAGGATGCATATGATTGTAGATAAGGAATGAAAAGTACGTGGTAGATGTAAAAAGAATAGAAGATAGAACCACAACCCTAAAATTTGTAGCAAAGAAAGACACCTTTAATATAAATTGTGCTTATAAACTCGAGGTAGGGACAAAGGAATATCTCAAGATAATATTTTGGGTGGATTTAGAAGGTGTAGTTTATGAAATACCTTTAGGAGAAAAGAATTTCTTAGGAGAGGATCTAAATGGACATCTAACTCCGGAGGGTGTGAAAGTTTTCACGGGAGTTATGGAATAAGGGAGACAAATACGAAAGGTAAGGCTATTCTAGATTTCTCTTCAACTTTTGATTTTACAATAGTCAACACATGTTTTAAGAAGTGGGAGGAATATCTTATCACATATAGGTGGGGTGACATGTTCTCGAATCAATTTTTTATTAGGAAATCAAATAATTTTTTCTTGGACTACAATGTAATACCTAAGGAGAACTTCACGATCCAACATAGAGTTTTGGTTATGAATGTATTGGTTAAGAGTAGAGTAGATAGAAAATACCAAAATAAAGTTTCAAGAATCAAGTGGTGGAAATTGAAAGAACGGGAACAAAGGATCTTCCAACAAAGGGTTTTGTAGGAAGGGATTTGTAGGAAGGGATTTGAGAGACAAAGTAGTTCTAACAGTATGTGAGACAAGATGGAAAAATACTAATGTTGCGTTAGATGAGTGAAAGTTCTATAAAATAAGATTAAGAATGAATGTATTAGGAAAAAAGTTAATGTTTTTTATTGTAAAAAAATGGTAGAATCGTGTCTTAGATTTTGGTATGTGTGTAGAGGACCGTTAGAAACCTAGTAAAGATAGTGGATCAAGTGAAGGCATAGGGAGACCAAGAAGAATGATAGACAAAGATTAAAAAATATTTAAATATCAATACTTCGTCAATAAACATGATTTATGATAAATCATTATGACCTCATTTTATGCATGCAGGTGACCATGTTAGAGTGTATCACTACTCATAATATGTTATTGTTAACTAAATAATTATAGCTTGAATTTATAAAAAAAAAAAAACCCAAGGATGCTTGTGGCCACCTTTTGAATTTATAATAACATGATGGAGAACTTTAGAGCAATTGTGAGTTTGTTTTCCTTGTAATTTGTAGATCATAGGTTTAAATCTTGGAAACAACTTCTATTTATGTGGGGTAAGAATCTGTTTCTTCTCATACCTCAATAGCTGTGAGCCTAGTGCATTTGGTCGACCTTTGTTATTTACAAAACCATAGGCAGAAATCCAGTAACAGATTCTTAAGGCAGAAACCCTCCTTTTTATTTTTCATTTTCATCCTTTTCGCAATTGTTAATATCTAGATTTTGTTGAAGTTCTTGAGGGAGTAGGTAAGGAACTACTCGAAGCTTCCTTTTCAAATCATGCAATGAGTTTCAGCTGCAGGGTTCAGACTCATTACAGCAATTCCTCCTGCCAATAGTATTATCTACCAAAATATTCTTTGAATACTACTGGTAGAGACCAAATTATATAGGAGGAAAGTAAAAAGATGTCGGATGCGATCATAATTATGGTTGCAGTTACTGTGACTGCAGTCATTACGGCCATTGTGGTGTGAATTATATAGTGAGTGAAAAAATATTTTTGAATTCAATGTGGTCCGATGCAGCATAATGTGGTCTGATGTAGCTCAAACGTGGTTCAATGTGGTTGCAGTGCAGTCCGATGCAGTCCCATTATTGTGATTCTGTGTCACATCGCAATTGTGGTGTGATGCAGTTATAGTGATCACCATAACTGCAATACACTGCCCTGACCTGATAACTACCTTTACATGTCCACGACCCATATCTGAATAACTAAGTTGACAATTCAGCAGGTTCTTCATGCCTTTCCCCATTCTACTTTGTTTTTGTTACTTCTAGTATATGCCTTCCATATTCTTCCCTTCTTTTGTCACTTTGCTTGTTCCAAGTACCATTTAACTCATTTTATTTGATTGGGTTAGTCATGAAATTTTAAAACCTACTTATATAGAAGGGTTATGCTACAACTATTGACTGCTTTATGAAAATTTGTTGGTTTAATATTTCATAGTGATTAAAAAAGCCCTTTTCTTATTTTTTGAGCCGCGTGATGAAAATAACAAAACCTTCCCAAATGCTTTGGTGATGGCTTCCTGTTATTCAGATGGTATTGTTGCTGATTACCATGTTTTCCTGTACAAAGTTGATTTTATTTTGTAACTTTTTGCATAATAAATAATTAAATTCCATAACATTATTAGTTTGAGTTTTGTCACCCCCTTTAATTAACTTATTAAAAAGTGGCTGTTACTTGCAGCAATGAAAGCTGCCTATGATGTATGTGTATGTTTAGTTTCTTACTGTATTTGGGTTTTTCCCTTTAAGTTTTAGGTATACTATTATATTGAGGTTTAATTAGGTCTTTTGGTAATTGGTAATACGACCAGATTTGTTTCCATGGAGATGGAGAAGGTTGTCTTGTCAGTTGTCACCTTGGTTTTCAAGTGGTGGAAACTTGTGTGCTTGTCAACCTTTTTGTGCATTGCATAAGTATCTGCTGTTGCTTGCTCCCGTATGATAGTGTAAAAAATGGTGGCCCAGTACGCGATGCTCCCACTTAGTCGTGTCTGAGGATGGTAGATGTACGCAGTCTTACTTTTACAAAGTGAAGAAGCTTTTTTTAGGGAAAGGATGACCAGTGTACGAGTCTCTCATTTAGTGAAGGTACGGAGAGAGTAAATATGTATGCAGCCCCGATAAGCAGAGAGACTATTTATAGGATTTGAACTAATGCTACCTTACAGTGAGTTGTCTTAAATTTGTTTGTGTTAAAGTTTATACTGATTGAGCGCATGTGTAATGAACTATATTTTAGAGAATCCTCTTTCTATGAGCTAACTTGTCGGGTAACATTAAATTTAATTATTCTAATATGGTATTAGAGTCTGTTCGGATTTTAATGATAGGCACACTACTTGCAGTTGTTCAGTTCTGGTGTAGAGGGGATGCCTTAAGTATTAAAGTCTTACTCACATTATTCATTCCATCACATCATTCATTACATGAATGATGAATCATCTTGGGAACCCAAAGTAGCTTTTAGGACAAACTTAGATTCAGTTATTCTAATAACATTGTTCCTGTGTGAAGGTAAACTGCTTGTTAGTGATGAGAAGATTTTTGTCATGATGTGACATCAATATTCTTGATGCTAGTTTTTTTTTATATTGGGAGTGAATACTCCTTTAAAGTGATTTTATTGTTCACCTGAACTACATAAAGTATACATAGGGCATGATAGTTACCCGTGTTTTAAAGTGCAATTGTGGTTGTGATTGCGGTAACGGTTGCGGTTATTGCGATTACAGCTATTGTGGCCATTGTGGTCTGATGTGACCTGATGCAATCAACATGTGGTTGTGATGTGGTTGTGGCAGTCACTGCGACCGCAATATTGCATCCACATCAGGTGATGGGATCCGCAATTATGCGATGTAAGTTAGGGTAATGTTGTCTCATGGCTTAAGAGGAAGGTAGCTGCGATCTTGTACTAGATCCTATCAGAATTCTGTAGTTAAACATGCTTGAGGAGAGTAATATTAGGATAGGTGACTTCCTAGGAAGTCCTCCTGTTGCACATTTTAAAAAAAGTTGTTACTTAGTGACTATGAAATTAGGAATTCAATCATGTTGCACATCTTTAAAAAAGTTGTTACTTAGTGACTATGAAATTAGGAGTTCAATCTTGTTGCACATCTTTAAAAAAGTTTATAGGGGTAATGTTGCATCCATCTATTCTCACTAGAGTCCACTAAGTGAGAGTCTCGTCTATTGGAGCACACTTAAGAGTGGGGTGAATGACTAACAATTTTTTTCTTAGGGATTGAGATCAAGACATATTAATCTTTCTTATTTTAACTTGTTGAAATTTTTTAAAGATTATTGTTCAAGGAATGACATACATGTCAAAAACTTAATGTAATTTGGATGCTCTAAATAATTTATTAAGTTTAAGAATTCAATTTAGAAAGTGAGTTTAACGCAATGATAGAGTTAGTCATAAGAGTAAAGGAAGGTACAATAATTTTGTAAAGTATATTCTTGGGAAGTAAAATACGGCCATATTTTAAATTTCAAATAATGATAAATGTAAAGTCCCATTTTTTTATATTTTTAAACTGTAATATCATATGAATGTGAATGTGGAAGTGTGAACTACTTCCTATGAAATTTAGGAATATAAATTTCTAGGGCGATCATTATATTGGGATAGACGTGCATGACCTTTAAAACACGAGTTTTACTGCATACACCATTTAAAAGGTTGTGTGTAGTTTAATGTCGGATGTAGAGTTCAAGACTATAAGTCACTCTAGTAAAATCTATATCTTACTCATTATACAAAGGTTTAAGTTGTATGGCATCTTTGTTTATACACAATCTTATAAAAACCACTAAAATTCTCGGAAATCGTTTTTCAATTTCAAGTTGAGGATTGTTAGAACAAATGAACCATTAATTGAGACTTTTGGATGTAAAATAAAAAAAATCAAGTCCCATAAGAAGGAGGAAACACTTATAAAGTATTTATAAGCCTTTAATGCATTCCAATGGGTGTGCCCCAAGGGGCATAATGGGTTTTGTGGTGGGTGAGGACACACAATCAAAAAACCTTCCCACACACGCACATGCATCACCACCACTTCCTCTGCCGCCATCCGCTCGGTTCGGTTTGTGTTCGGGCTTGGGCCCAACAATTTTTTTATTTTTTGGGACGTGTTGACCAAGTCACACACAGTTCCAACTTTAAGGAATAAGTGGAGGAAGGTCTGATCGTGTGACCGTCAGCCTAATCGTGATAGTCAGATCTTCTTCCCGTTTGGGATGAGATCTTTTTCTAGGCCATTGGATCGACATGTTTATTGGAGGTCTCCACCTATAAATAGGGGTCTCTCTCATTCAGAAAAATTTGTACTAGTTGAGAGTATTTCCTTAACTTTTCTTCTCTCCTTCTTCGTCGAAGCATTTCTGGCCCCTTTCTCGCTCTTTCTTTTTGTGATACTAGAATTGGCATAGGCAGGCGAATTGTTGAAATTTGGAGAAGTACTGGTAGTTAGATTATTGGAAATTCAAAAATTCTAGATTTGTCGCTAGTAGTCATATTATGAGTATTTCAAGATCAATTCTTACGATGCATAAATAATTCGAAACATAGAACTGTGTTATTTTATCACGATAATGACATAGTTAATAATCTACTTACACATTTGTAGTCAATTCCAGCAAATATCTTAAAGAGAATAACCTAATCATGACTTAGGAGCTAGTAATATATATTTAATTTTTGCATGTCTTGTGAATAAAGAGGTTATGATGGCAACTAGGCTGTCTATGCTATTTTCCCTTACCGTTTCAAGTGAAAGTTGAAGTTGATTGAGGAACTAAATATGCACAATCGACATTAGGAAAATAATATATGACGCATTCAGATAGTGCAATTAATTGTAAAATATAATAAATCAACAATATTAACATTTGATTCTAGGAAAATAATATATGACACATTCAGATGAAAGAAAATTCTTAAAACGGTTCTTCTTTCAGAATGATGTAACTTAAAATTTAAATAATTTATTAAGTATAAAAATTATAAGATAACATATCAACAAATTTCTAAAATGATTTTGTGAGTATGAGTTTTATATAATCACTAACAAGGTCACATGTGTAATACAAAAAGGTTCATGAGTTTGCAATGTTATAAAAACCATACTGTACCGGCCGGTTCAACAGGAAAACTGGTGAACCATAACCCTAACCGGAAAACCGGTTAATCAGACCCCTAACTGGTACGGTACGTATGTTATACCGCATATGTAATAGAACCGGTTGAAAACTGGTGAACCAGTTTAAACCGGCCAGTTTGTACATTAATTTTTTTTTTAAATTTCAAATTTTCAATTCTTCACAAATTCTTCAACTTCAATTATTAATACTTGTGTCATTTATTTTTATTTTGTGTTTGTTAAGTGATAATTTTTTATTAATATATGTTTTGCACTTTAGACTTTGATTTTGGAGTAAAATACATTCACACCCCCTGAGTTTTAATGAAATTACACAAATCACTCCTCTCTTCTTTGTCATTACACAAACCACCCCTCCCTCCTACACAAACTACCCCCTAGATTTATACATACATTACACAGACTACCCCTACATGTTATAAAAGTGTAATATTTTAAAGAAAAAATGTGTGATGAATGTAATTAAGTTAAACAAAATATTGTATATTGTGTAACACTTCAAATAGTATAAAAGCGAATGTTTATTTATTATTTTTGTGTGATTAAAAAATACATTAATAATTTCAAATAAATGTTTAAATAACTCTTATATTATTTTATAACGAACCAAATAATGAAGACACACTGACTCTTATATTATTTGAATTTTTCTACATAATATACAATATTTTGTTTAATTAATTACACACATCATACGTTTTTTGTTTAAAAAATTACACTTTTATATTATGTAGGGGTAGTCAGTGTAACATATGTACAAAATTAGGGGTGGTTCGTGTAAGGACAAAATAATGAGGGGTGGTTTGTGTAATTTCACTAAAACTCAGGGGGTGTGAGTGTAATTTACTCTTGATTTTGTTAAAGACTTAATGTTGTTTGTTTGTGTGGATTTGGAGTAGATTATGAATATGGATTATAAATCTGAATACATATTTATTGATATTTTTTGTTATAAGTTTACATATATATATATATATATAAGCAAATATGTCTGGTTTAACCAGTATGCGGTTTAATTACTGAACCACTGGTTGAACCACTGTACCACTATACCAGTACCCTGACCGGTTTGATAACCGATACGGTTTTAATAACATTAAGCCTTTGCACTCATCCTATATTCTAAGGCAAAGGCCTTTAACCACTAGATAACAATTTTAATCAATGTTATTGATATTCGTGTTATAAAATTGGTCAAAATACTATTATAATAGAGTGGTATAATGGTTCAACTGGTAGTTCATTAATTAAACTACATACTGATGAAATTAAATATACATATATATAATATATTAACATTAATATTGAAAAATCAATAAAAACATATTTTTATTAAAAATTAATTTTAAATAAAAATCAGTCGGTATGACCGGTGCGGTTCAATCGAAAACCAGTCGGTATGACTAATTTTAGTCGGTTTTAACCGATATGATTGCATAATCAGTATAATTGTTGTACTATTCCAGTATTAGGACTAGTTTACCGACATGATTGATATAATTGTTGTACCATACCAATATTAAGACTGATTTATCAGTTGGATCGCCATACACGAATCAGATTTTATAACACATAAATAAACCAATCAATTAAGCTTAAGTTCTAAAAATGGAATTAATTCCAAACAAATTTCAAATTTGAATTCTAACAACCTGGAATAAATTCCTTCTAAGCTTCTCCACCATAACTTCAGAAATTCCATTAATTCTTCTTTACTTAGTTTGTCAACAGAGAAATCAAACCAGTTTTCATTAAACTATACATTAGATTAGAGGTGTCAAAACGGGCTACCCGGGCGGGTTCGGGCTAGCCCGTATCGGGTTCGGGCTAAACCGGGTCGGACTAAAAAGCTCGGATACAATTTTTGTATATCAAAATGTAGCCCAAGCCCGCCCTATGCGGGTTGCGGGTTGTGGCGGGCCGGCCCGCATTATAACACCCTAAATTTGAGTCTTTAAAATTATAGTATCAGTCCAGGAAGTCTCGCTTGAGCGAGAGATTCTCGCCTGAGCGAGAGATTCTCGCCTGAGCGAGAAAGGATCACCTGGGAGGGTGAAATCCTGGGCTAGACTGGAGGATCCTCGCCTGAGCGAGAGTTGTCTCGCCTGGGCGAGAAATGGCATTTTGGGGCTGTTGACACTGTGAGATTCTCGCTTGAGCGAGAATCCCTTGCTTGAGCGAGAGCGTCAGATCTGAAATTTTAAAAAGGCGGAATTTTATCGCCTGAGCGAGAATGGGCTCGCTTGAGCGAGAACCTGATGACTGTTCTTTAAAATAGAAATCCCAAACACATTTTAGGGTTAGAACTTGAGAAGAGGTAAACCTCTTGTTTCTAACTCTTCTTCTTCTTCTCTAACTTGTTTTGGGTATGTTAGATCTATTTTTCAAAATATGAGAAACCATGGAAACTCATCCTTTAGAGTTATGGTTCGTTTTATGTGGTTTTTCTCTTGTAAACTCTTGGTTTAGATTTGGTATTTGAGGAATGGAAAGATTTTGTGGGTTATTCATGAAAACCCCAAAAGCCCCCAAAATGAGAATATGAGTAAAAAGAGGAATAGATGAAATGTTAGATGTGGATGATGAGTTTGCGATTTAATGTTGATATATGAGATAAACATGTGTGTTTAGATGTTTGGGAAACTTGTATTAAAGTACTTTTGGGGATCTTGAAAATATGTGAATCCCTTGTCTGTTTGATGATGAAATATGAGTCGTTATGTATTATTTTGAATAAATGAATGACATTGTTGTTATTGGTGATAAGAGAGAGATCCTAAGGTTGGAGGAGTTCGTGGAGGAAACTGGTAAAGTTACTCACAAACCGAACCCCA